CGGTGAAAACGTAAAACCGCCATTTCTCCGCCAATGTTTAGCCTTTTTCAAAATTTTTTTTCAGAAATTAGAGATTATTCTTCGACCTCTATTTTGACCCAAAAATCCAAATTTGAAGAAAATTGCCGACCCGAAGGTATACTGTAACCTTAATGAATTAAGTTTTTATATGGAGAGAGTGACAAGCTAAGGACGGTGATGGGGATTGGGTATGGGGGAGGGATGTAAATTTCACCATTCATGTTTGCGCCCCCTTCGTTACTTTGTAATGACGTGATTACATTCTCGTGTCTCCCGGTTTTCGCTAACTTGGATTTTCGTTTCCTACTCTCTTTTTTCTCCCCTCCGTAAGCTTTAGAAGAAAATACTGAGCTTTCATGCGAGGAAAACTAACACACGTTTGTAACAAAGGTGTTTGACTGAAGCAGGTTTTTATTGTATTGTAGAAGAAAGCGCAGTGCAGAGCAGACTGGGCATTCTAAATCTGTGCAGTTAATTCTTTTTTACCTGGCGGCGGCGTGGAGTGCTGTGTCCAGTCCATATGACGTCACAGTAGTAGCTGCTTTATTTCGATCCATGAACATTAAGATGTCCTGTCGGATACAAAACATGATAAAATACCAAGCATTAATACAAGACAATGGTAATGATATGTATTTGGTTCTTAATGATTACGGTGACAGTATTTCTAGTAACCTATAATATCCAAGATTCTTTTTAATGTCTTTTTGATGGTGGAAATCAACCTTGAAATGATTTAAATTGGGACAGTTTTTCAAGGCGATGTCTTAAGCATCAGCAATGTCAAAAATCTAAAATTTCTAAAATCCCGAATTCAATTGGCCATTTTCCTCTATTTCAAAAGGAGTCCTTGTGCAAAACCTTTCGTATGAAAATGGGTTTGATTTGCATGAAAATGAACCACTAGGCGGAACACATTTTCAAATGAATGGTTTTTTGCACGAAGACTCGTTTTGATTCAGAGGCAAAAGCCAACTCGGAAACGGCTTATTATTTTAGATCGTTCTTACCTGAAGATGGCCATGTTTTGCCGCGTAGTGGACTGGGGCAAACCCTGTGATGTCCTTTTCAGTTATCAACCGGAAAGCCGTGCGATCCTGAGAAGAAAAATATTCTTGGTAAAATTTTACAAAAGTGTTGAATTAAAACTTACCTCAAAATAATAGGTACATTGTGTTTCTGACGTCTTCCGTTTTTGGGAATTGAGAAATAGATCGAGCCGTCTAGAGAATTTGTGACTACCCGGGTGGGGTCTTTATTAAATTTCAGGCAACATCAAGGCTTAACCAGGTCTGTTACGGAAGTTTCTCCCTCTTTGGTTAAATAATATCATTACATTATTAAAATATTATTAATACCTGTAGTAATACTTCCAGAGTAGCTGTGTGTCCCACGGCCACTCTCACGCAAGATTGCAAATCTACATCCTTCACCGTGACGTCAGCACCAGCTGTTATCAGCGCTTGAACAGACCCTGTCCCACCTTCCGCGGCTGCTAAGAAGAGAGGGGTGCGGCAGAGTTTGTCACGGGGGTCAACTGAAGCACCCTAAACATTATACAAAACCAATTTAGTTTTAACATTATACTTAACCAATTTAGCTTTAACATTATACAAAACCAATTTAGTTTTAAGAATATAGAGCTTTTTAACAAAATTAGGCAAAACAGAACAAGACACCACACAACACAACAAAACACAGCACAACAAGACACAACCAAACACAACAAACCAAAATACAAGCAACCCGACTTGTACTCTCTGGAGTGATGCCCCAATATAGTGCGAATTCAAAGAACAGAACAAAACGCTACACAACCAAACCAAACCAAACCAAACGAAAGCAAAGCAACGCAGTGCAACAAGACTGAGCACAGCCATTATGGAGTGTCGGTCTCTACCCCATCAAGTGCGGAAGAATTCACGAAAAAGGCGTCAAAAAGGTCACGATCTTATTTTTAAAACTATTAAAAAGTTAATTGTTCTGGTTGGCACTTATGAACCATCATAGTTTTAGGTCGCTCGCGACACCGTGAACATTTTCATTTACCTGTTCTAAAAGATATTCTACAACGTCTGAGTGGTTGTTGCGCGCAGCCATGTGCAGGGGAGTCAAACCTTGGCTGTCAATCAAAGTAATTCGACAAATGGAGGGATCTTTAGACGTGAAGAGTTGAACTATGTCCAGAGATCCTTGAGCGCACGCCTCGTGGAATGCAGTAATTCCATGACTACCCTAAATCCATCAAAAATAGAGAAATGCATGATTGAATAAATCTATCAGTCATTCAGGAAGTCGGCTGAGGTATTGCTCAGTTTGTTGGTCAATCAACCAAGCAACCGACCAGCCGACCTACCTACCTACCCATCAACTACCCAACAAGCTAACAGTCATTCATTCATTGATTCATTGATTCATTCATCCAGTCAGTCAGTCTGTCAGTGGGTGGGTGGGTGGGTGGGTGGGGGTTTGGTCGTATCGGTCAGTTTGTTGTTCAGTAAAGCTAGTCAAATAAATATAACGTTTGCTGCATAAAAGTACAATTTTTCGTAAAATGTAACTAACGGGGAAATGTTAAAAGAACTTATTTTTTTAGTAATACTGGTTACCTTTGGCTGTCGAATGATAGCGCCATTTTCCAGACAAAGTTGTACAACCTGAAATCAAAACGATTGAAATCACCAAGCCTAATTAGAGAAGATTATGTGTCGTAAGAAAATCATTTAAAATTGTCTTGAAACGGTTATTAACCTCAGAGTTTCCACTTTCAACCGCCAAGTGAAGCAGAGTGCTTTTCTCAGAATCCACATTGCAAAGTATTTTCTTCATGTCTTTCTTCCTTGCCTTAGCTGTCAAAAAGAATAATACATTGTCATCGGACACAGTCGTGTCGGTCTCAGTTATTCTTATGCAGAGATCGATGTTGCATTATATACTTGGCGATTGAAAAATCGGATATTTATCATTCTTGTCAAAGGGTGTTTACTCAAAGCTAGAGAGTCAGGCGTTCGGTCGGTCGGTCATTCAGTTAGTCAGTGAGCCAGTAATTCAGTCGTCAGTCGGTCAGTCAGTCAGTCAGTCAGTCAGTCAGCTGGTCAGTCAATAAGTCATTGAGTCAGTGAGTCAGTCATTCAGTCGCTCAGTCGGTCATTCGGTCGTTCGGTCAGTCGGTCGGTCAGTCGGTCGGTCAGTCGGTCGGTCAGTCGGTCGGTCGAACGGTAGGTGGGTCAATCAGTCAGACGTTCAGTCAGTCGGTCGGTCATTCGGTCATTGCGTCGGTCAGTCAGTCAGTCAGTCAGGCAGTCTGTCGGCAGTGGGTCAGTGGGTCGGACGGTCAGTCGTTCAGTCGTTCAGTCGTTCAGGCATGCAGTCAGTCAATAAGCGAGCCACCAAGTCTATCGATCGCAAACAACAGTAAAAGCCGCTGACCATCATCAAAGAGAAAAGTCGCCGTGTTCTTGGATCCTTTTTCAACAGCACGTGTCAGTGGCGTCATTTTTTCGTTATCACGGCAGTCTGGAGAGGCTCCGTGCTCCATCTAAGACAAAAGCACACATCCAAAGTCATTTGGCTAATGGTTATACAAAAAGTATTACCTGGCCGATACGTGCAGATAACCTTGAACAACTTCATCCGGAGTTCTAGAATGGGGTCTGGTTCATCATCCCAGGTTTTTAGGAGGGTAGAGTGGTGAAGATGATACCATAAAGCCCAAATAACCCTAACTGAGTCGTAAGGGGTTGGGGTGGCTTTATAATTAAGGGGTTAGAGTGGGGTTACATCCGCGGTGTAGGTGCTTGTAAAGAGTTTTTGAAAAGCTGAAAAGTAACAGTTTTTTCAGTATCATAGGTATAAATCAAATTTTAAGGGTTGCTAGGTGGGTGGAGGTAATAAGAAATCCTCTGCATGGGACTTATACGGACGGCAACTTGGGATAATACAAGGATTTCATGGGAGGTTTTGAGGTCAAGGTAGCAATTACTATTTCTTCCATGTTGTGAGCATCTTCGAGCGTACAATTGGTAAGGATTCAAGAGTAAATAAGCTATCGTATATGAAGGGGCCATTAAGGTAAGCGCTTTCGGTTTACAACCAGGACGTGTTGTTATCAGCAGGAGAATGACACATAGTTACTAACCAGTAATTTACAGATGGATACTTTGTCCATATCGGCAGCGATGTGAAGGGCGGTTCGCGAGCTGTGTCCTCTAATGTCTACGTCACTATAAGCACGTCGAAGAAAAACCTGAATAACGAAAAATTACAACTTCATATGATAGAAATCAAGACCTCGAAATTATAATGGGAGTGGCCTAAGGAAAAAGTCTCGTTCCTGAGATCGCAAAAATGAAAACTAGCGAAACTTTCATGGTTTCAAAACATAACTTCAAGACACATTATTTTAGTATTATTTGAAGCAATGTCATAAAAATAGTGTTCAACTGTCGGTCCATTTCCTGTAATGATGCAAAAAGTATAATTTCGATTTACATTGAGAACAAACATACATTTATTTTTTTATTCTTGTATATTCTACTTGCCATACACTATAGTTTTAGGAGTTGGCATTTGTTTTGCTTTTTCATATCACATTTGATTCGCGCAAAATTCATGTGTTACCGATTTTCAATTTCTTTGTTTATCGTTTCCATGGAAATATCAGTTGCCTTGTGTTATACCAAACTTCAATCCATTTCTACTGACTGGTGTAATTTTCGCATCGATCCAATTAATTAATGGAAAACTGTTAGAAAGCTGTTTGAAAAATGCTTGGTATGGTCCAGAACTGGAAACTGTATCGAGACACCTTAAGCTCCATTTACATGTAGGTTACTGAGTCAGATATCTACCCCAACAAGGTTCTCGTCCCCAGATCGAACCGCAGTTTGAATTGGTGCGTCTTGACTCTCATCCAGACGAGTTGTGTCAGCCCCAGCCTCCAAGAGCATCTCCATGATTTTCACGTGACGCCCTAATATGGCATTGTGAATTGGAGTTCTTCCTGACTTGTCCACGAGATTCACATCTGTGCAGAAAACATTGTAATAAAAATAAATATTAATAGTAATTGATTACTGTTATTTTCATTTTAACATCTATGACAGAAACTGGTCCATGATGAAACTAAAAGGCAGCGAGGCAGAAAAGGCAGGTCTGCTTCTCGACCATAACAAACGAATCGGAGAAGACATCTCAAAAAAGTAAAAGGAGAGAGAATATGGTTAGATGTATTTCAACGTTCGCGCAGCTACAAGAAAAAGCTTGATAAATTAAAGATTTATATTTGTCAAATGCACCCGTCCTGTCCTGTTCAACCCTGGAGAAGAACCGGCAAGTGATCCTTGGGGAATGAAAAATAAACCCTCAATCCTGTCGTGTTTCATGATTAAGTAAAAACTACATTTACTTTGATATATTTACTCCTTACCAGAGTCTCTACTCAATATGTGTCTGACTTCAGCCTCGTCTCCGGTCAAAGAGGCCTGGTGCAGTTTCAATGGTTTCACTTTGTTTTCGTATTTATCCTATAGAGCAAATCATCATATTAACGTTAAGCCAACCAAGTCAGTAAGGACATTACAGACCAAAACGAGAGAGAGGATTTTGCTATTTAAAAACTGTTGCCATGCCTACCGATTCTTCATCATCCCCAGCATCTGCCGCGTCATAATTTTCGCTACCTAGTGATTGGAGAGACAGCTGGCTCAATGCCTTTGCTCGCTGGCGCTGATCCAGGTCAGGACTTAAAGTCATCAAAGGCAGCTCTTCGTCACCAGGTTCTTCAGGCAGCAGTGGGCCGGCGATGGGCTCCTGGCCGTCGTCACCAGGCTCCTCAGGTAGCAGAGGGCCGTTCGAGTTTGTTTCCATTGCAGTGTGAAGGATTTAAGGTAAGCTTCTGAATTGGGAAAAAAAACAAAAACAAAAACCAAATCCGGCCAAAGGTTTGAAAAAGCCCAGGTATCGTGTTTCAGTAAAAATATGTTATATCTTACTAGTAATGGTTCGAGTTCCTTTACCACATATTTGGTGAATTTTTATCTAAGTAAACCATGGTTTGAAGTTCTACTCTTGCCTACTAGTTCCTTGGCCTCTACGTCTCGCTACTTTTCATTTTCATGTCAAGCGCTTACGTCTCCCATGACGTCACCGGTGATCGCCTGGGAAGGCCGTTTAGGGATTGGGAGCTACTTCGATTTGGAAATGCTTTTGATTGACATTTCTCGGTTATTGAAAAAAGAACCTGACTGATTTTACCTACAAATCCTTGCTAAAGTTTTTGAAATGGCAGAGATAACAAGATAAAGTTTAAATGCCTCACGCGGTTCAAGAAAATGGTTTAAATTTACACAGGATAATTTGTGATATTATGTCTGCGCGCAAATCGAGAGAAACAGAGCAGAACATAAACATAGGAAATTTGCATACATTAAAGATGTCACAAGTTTATAACTTTCTTATAAATAATTAAAAGGAAAATCTGCTCGATTTAAGCACAATACTTAACTAAGTAACTTTGTGAAAACTTTCTCGCATGCGTATATCTCTGCCAAGAAGCTGTCTATGACACGAAGGAGAACCATTTTTAGCTGGCTTATGTAATGGTAATAAATTACGAACTGCCTACGGAGCTGGTAAAAAAAGCGTGTGATATCTAGTCACTAGGTTGTCGAAGGACGGTATTGACGAGTCCATTTCCGTAGAAGTGTTAATACGAACAATTTCTCGTTCGTTTGACAACGGCAAATTTCCAGAGGCAAACTCATAATTAATCGGATAAACGTTAACTCAGCTGGACTGTGGACAGTGATAAGGATCTAAAGGTTTAATTACTTAATAAAGTTTTGATCGCCGTGTTTCAGCTGTAGGATCCAATCAAAAAGTCACCAACATCTTACAACACTTCGCCATTCGTATGCGCTATAAACGCTTTGTTTATGTATAAAGTTTCAACAACTTACAGATATTCGCCCGATTGAAAGTTAGTAAAAGTTTTTTAAAAATACGGTCAGACCTCACCTTCTCTGTATAGCCCTTGACTCTTAAGGAGAATTTCAATTACATCTGGGAGATGATAGCGTTCAGATCAAGAGATGCTTCCTTAATGCAGGAAATTATGAGCGAATGTAATTCGTGACAAGTTATAAGGCTCTTTCATAAAGATAGAAAGCGGTGATGCGTGACACGCGTCACACAACGCACAATAATTGGCGCCAAACACTAAACAGTTTTAAAACGCGTGTTTTCAACTTTGAGCACAAAAATACCTCACAACCTTGTGGTCTCTCTGTCATTTAGGGTTTTTAATTCCTTAATTAACCCTTCTACAGAGTCTTAAGGTGGATATTGAGAATAATTATTTATAGTTTGTGGATAATTTAGTACGGCATAATTACTGAAGCGTATGCGATCAAAATTAATTGGCCTTTCGTTCAATATACTTGATGATCGTTTTATGCAAATATAATTAATCCTTTAATCTCGAATTTTTAACGCTTCTTCACGTTTTGCATTTAATTAAAGAGAACAATCTGCATGTCGAATGAATGGAATCATATTTAACAGTCAATGCTACAAAGCTCATTCTTTCTTTTCCAATTTTGGGGCTTCTTGATTTGCGTACGGTGAAAATGAATAAAACATATTTCACGACATTCAATCATTTTTCGCGATTTCAGAAAAAAATAGACTTAAAGAGAGTTATTTGTCGGAAAAAAATCATCATTGTTTAATCACAAT